TGTGCTTGCTTAGTTGCTTTACTGTCAATAGCTCACCCCTCTGCAGAAGTAAAATTCTGCCCTGCCAAGTTCCTTTTGGTTCAGTGTACTTATTCCTATGTGGCACTCCAATATCCTGAGACATTTCTAACAACAGTAAGCGTTTTCCACACAATAAATTGCTTAAAATTCAAGTAACCTCAACTTCCCATTCCTCTCTCTGTCTAAAAAAAATCTATAAGCAATCCACCAGGAAATTCAATCGAGCCTACACTTAAAATATATTCAGAATCTGGTCACTTCTCCCCATCTTTGCAATCATTTCCCTCATCTAGGTCACTAAAATCACCTGATTACTGAAACAGCTTAGTAACAGCTGGGTAAACTACATTCCATACACTTGGCTGCAGATAAGCTGACCCCTTTGCTGGCCCATAAATACTCTAGGTACAGGCCCACTCTTGGCTTGTATGCTAACTGTTCCCATGCATATCAACTTGCCACTCTTTCTTTGAGTCTGCACTCCAAAATCGTCTTCCGTATGAGGGCTACTTGATTAATTTTGCAACCTAGGCCTTGCAGCCCTTGCATGATCTACGTCACCATTTTTCGTATAGCTAAGCATTTTCTAATATACTTGTTTACTTATTGTAGTTATTGTTTTCCATCTCATTCCATCCCTGCTAGAATGTACGTTTTATGAGTGCAGAAATCTTGTTTTACATACTGATATATTTAAGTACTTAAAACAGTGCCAGGAACATAGTAGATAGAAAATAAATAGTTGCATAATTTTTGGCATCTAAGGTACACTGCGGGTAGAGGTCTGTGTAAAGTCAGATTTATATAAATCAGCGGTAAAAAGTAAAATTTGTTCATTTGTGGAAACCACAAGACTTTGTCTAAACACAGATCTATTTAGAGAGACTTGCCTCTTTACAAAGGTGCTTTATAAAGCTTTATTATGAGATAAAATAAGTAACACTAAGCAGCCTCATATAAATACAAAGGCGCGCACGCGCGCGTGCACACACACACACACACACACACACACACACACACACAGTCAAGGTTTCCTCCTGTAAACTTCTGCATCTGAGTAAGCATCCACAGACTAATTGCTAATTTTATTTTTCTACACTTAAATTCTATTCTCATTCCTCTATTTCTGATTTCTATCCTCAGGAAGAGCGAGAGCAGTTACTGCCAGGGCATTCTCACATCTTCCACAGAAATGGCATAGGTGTTAATCTTGTATTTATGTTTGATGTGGGTAATGATAGCTATGCCTGGAGCTGTAGGTTTATTAATATGCAGGGCTCTCACCTCATTAGTGGCGATGTATGTTTTGAAGTTAAGCTGCAATGTTTGCAATGTTTTGCTGTAATGTTGGATCTGGCTCAACAGACTTTCTCACTGTTCATTTTCTTTGTTTTTACTCATAATCAGCACCTGCTATGTAGCTCATAGGGCTGCACAGGTGTCTTTCACTGCTGTGTTTTCACAGCAGTTAATCTTAGTGAGAACACTGATGTCCTCATATGGTCACATCACCTTTGCTTTAACGTAAAAGATTTACAGAATTTCTAACCGAGTAATATACAATATAATAAACTACTTCCTTGGCTGAGTGGCTAGGATTACAGGGTTCAGCAAGGATGAGGTGATTAGTTCAGAATTATAATAACCCATACCTATATTATTAGCATCTGATAGTGTTCAAGAACTCTCACATATATAATCTCAAATATCAAAAGAGTAAAACACACTAGTAGAAACATTTGGTAATATTTGACTATCCATTGGAACAATTCCTAGTTGACATAATATACTGCCAAATAGACTAACTTGGACCAGACTCTTAAGACTCATACAATGAGTCAACAATCCGCACTGGGGAAACACTAGGGGAAAGACTCCCGATTCTCAGATTTATTTGTAAGTGACTATGTTTTATAAATTCTATGATGTACACTTACATATTTCCTATAGCTAAAAATCTAGGAAGCACGTTAGATATGGAAAAAAATTTTCTTTCCATATATTACTAGGTAACTGAAAATAACTCCATTTTAAAAATTGATGATCATAAAAATAAAGCAATATGTTTTTGATATGTATCTACCCCACTTTCCAAGGATAGCATTAGAAAATGGCCAGTGGAGAATACAGGTAGCTAGACCAAGACAAAGAAGGAAGAAATGTAGACCACTCATTAGTATTTCCTCTCACCATCTGTCTTCTCACAGAGCCCGCACCAGATCCTCATAAAAGGACCCCCTGTCTTTGATTTGACAGTGTGACACATATTCAGCCAGAATTCCCATCATCAATCAGAGGAAGCAAAAATGAGTATATGTGCTTTTAAGAATGTAGAGCCATGAGTTTATATAGTAAAAGTGTATAAACAAGTATATTACCTATTTAATTGCTTCAGTCAAACTTAAAAGCTCTGATCTTTAATTGCCTGATTGAACTCATCTAAAAAGCTACAATTTTTTAATCAAGGAGAAAATTAAATAGCTTTTTGGTAAATAAAAAGGCATCTTTAATCTTATTTTTATGGAATCTAAGTTATTAAATATGAACAAAACCTCAAAATAGTAAGTTAACTACTCAGCCTAGGGTAAATTTATCATCAATGCTTTCCAAAAGTCTTCAGAGACAGCTGGCTTCCTCCACTCTTCAATTAAAAAACACATGCTTTTAAATCCAGAAGGTAAAAGTTTCTATGAATAGCTAAGAAAGTTGAGAACTAAATATGTAAATGTATTATCAAAGAATACTTATTTCTACGGCTGAGTAGTCAAGTACCTCGAGTAGCTGAGTACACTAGAGAGTAAGTGCTCATCTGCACCAAGATTCAGTTGACTTCTCAGCCAGGCAGAGGGAGATTCACATTTCCTCTTTGGCACTTACTAAAACCTAAAATCCCTTAAGAGAATTTTTGTGTACTCCCTCCATACCCACATCGACCTCACTCAGCCCCTCTCAGATACCTTTCCACCATTAGTGTTTTATAGCATGCTGCTGTGGGAACTGAGAGGGCCAGCAAAGCCTGTAGAGTGAAGTACAGGCTCATGATTCCCTTTTGAAACCTTCATGCCTTCAATTACTCATATCACTACAGTCCTCATCTGCCACAGGTGAAGAACCCTTTATTGAGCTGGGCATCATGGTACACTATGGGGTTGGCCCACTTAGGAAGTGGAGATGGAGAGGATTGAGGTTTCAAGCTAGCCCAGTTAAAGTTAGCAAGACCTCCCATATCAACAAATAAGTCAGGCATGGTAGAAATCTATAATCGTCTGTGAGGGAAGGATATGTAGGAAGAGAGCCATCCAAGTCTGGCCCAGAGAAAAATATGAGACTGTGAAAAATAACTGAAGCACAAAAGGGCTGGGCTGTGGCTCAAGTGCAAGAAACACATCTTTCTGTCTACTAGAGTTCTCAGCACTAATAAGTTCCCTCATGGAACAGTATAGCTATAACAATTATAAGAGCAAGAATTATAAATTATAGTTATGACCATTATAAAAGCAAGTATGTCAGAATGGGGCAATTCTAGATTCACAACAACATGCCTATTTCCACAACATGGATGCTATATTGGACAGTGAGGCCTTCACTTATTTTCTTTGTCAGATGGATAGCAGATGTCCTTAAAGAGCAATTAAATGACAGTAACTGACCAACGGGCTAATTCCTATAGAAGCACTTTACGGGATGTTGGTGTGAAGGGTAGAAAAACAAGGAAGGGAAAGAAGGAATATAAGACATGCCATGTTAAATAGCATTCTCTCTTAAGCATGAAAAATGTTCCATGTGCTTACACACTTATTTTTACCTAGGGAAAGAACACCAACATCTTACTCTGTCCACATCCACAATTTGCCTCAATTACATTTTTTAAAGTAGCTTTAAAAATAATTGGCTTATGATTCCATTTAAGCAGCATATATTTAAGAATTAAATTAATATTCTACTTGTCAAAATTTAAATATTCTCCTTAAAAGAGAAAGAAATTTGGAACCACAGGCTATTAAAACATCCATAAAAGAAGACAATCCTTAGTGACACATGTGCTACTGCAGTTGAATACATTAGTTTTTCCTCCTTCTCATAGTTCATACCTCCTAAAAAACACAAATTTCCTTTAATCACATTTAATTTTATGCTGCTACATTCCCCGAATGTACATGAAGCTAGCTGAAACAGATGTGTAAAATTAAACAGTATTGCTGTAGCATTAGGCCTTGAAGTTGCTTTGTTACAGTCTCTTTCTCACTCAATAATTTGCTCAAAAGGAATTCAGATATTTTGGGAACATTGAAACAACAACAACAAACAAACAAACCACCCCCACAAAATCCAACAACAAAAGAGGCTGGGCATTGGTGGTTCATGCCTGTATTCCTAACTACTCAGGAGGCTGAAATCTGAGGATCTCAGTTGGAAGCTAGCCCAGGTTGGCTTATCTCCAATTAACCACCAAAAAGCCAGAAATGGAGCTGTGATTCATGTGGTACAGGACTAATCTGAGCAAAAAAGCTCGAAGGCAGCATGAGTTCAAGCCCCAGGACTGGCACCAAATTTTAAAGAAAGAAAAAGAAGGAGGTTCTATTTCTAGAGCAGGACATGGTTACTGACTCTCATCAGTTCTTTATTGAAAGTTCCATTTTTTCAGGCATGTGAAGCATCTCTTCCTTAAAAGAGTGTATAGCATCTGAAACAGTAATCCCAAGGAGGCATGTAACTAGGTAAAAAGTGAAAGTTCTGCACTCCCTACACTTAAGACAACAGACCCAGTCATTTGCAAATACTATGAAATATCTTTATAAATTAACAACCTTTATAATCAGGTAAGAGCAAGAAAGAAGGAAAGGAGAAAAATGCAAGAAATTAGATAGTTCGCTGACTATTAATTGCATCCATTGGTTGCAAAGTCAGATCGTTTATTCGGACTGGTCAGAGCTATATCCTCACCCCAAATTAAGTCATAGCTGGAACCCAGCACATACCTCTGTGCAAAATCTTTAAACTCCACAAATACGTAAGTCCTTTAACGACCTAAATTTATGAAAGAAAAAGAAAACAGTATAATTATGGTTTTATAGAAAACTTTGCACTGTTAAACATTATTGACCATATTTTTTCTTTAAAACTGTCAAGCATTTATTGTATACAACCTATCCCATCACGCTCTATGGAGACATCAAATATAAAAGTCAAATGTTCCTTCCTTATTTTCTTCAATGTTCTGAAGAAGTGCCAACTGAAAGAAATAACCGTATAATATGTGCAAAATGTATGCAGATTTGGGAAAGCCAAACCCTTAAAGAGAACTGGGGAATATTAGTAAAACATCTGGAGGAATTATTTGTATTATTTAAAACTTTCCGGGCTGGGAAGGTGGCTCAGTGGTAGAGCGCTTGCCTTGCATGCCTGAGGCCCTGGGTTCGATTCCTCAGCACCACATAAGCAAAAGGAAAAAAGCCGGAAGTGGCGCTGTGGCTCAAGTGGTAGAGCGCTAGCCTTGAGCTGAAGAGCTGAGGGACAGCGCCCAGGCCCAGAGTTCAGGCCCCACTACCGGACCCAAAAAAAAAAAAAAAAAAAACTTTCCTGAAAGTATAATATAATCTCAAAAGAAAAAGTGTTTTTTCTTTGTTTGTTTGTTTTTTTGTCTTGTCAGTCGTGGGGCTTGAAATCTGGGCCTGGGTGCTGTCCCTGAGCTCTTCAGCTCAAGACTGGTACGAGGGATTGAACTCAGCTCAAGGCCAGTGCTCTACCACTCGAGCCACACACCACTTCTGGTTTTCTGGTGGCAAATTGGAGATCAGAATCTCACAGACTTTTCTGCCTAGACTGGCTTTGAACTGCAATCCTCAGATCTCAGAGTCCTGAGTAGCTAGGATTACAGGCATGAGCCACTAGCACCTGGCTATAAAAGATCCTTAAAAATATTTTTTTAGCCGGGTATAGTGATTTGTGTCTGTAATCCTAGCTACTTAGGAGCTGGGGATAGGAGCATAATGATTCAAGGACAACCTGAGCTAAAAACATTAGGAAGACATTGCCCCAAAGAGTAAGTATGGCATGGTGGTTCATAGAAGTAATCTCAGCTACTAAGGAAGAATAGAAGGATTGTAGTCTCAGGCCATCTGAGGCAAAAAGCATAAGACCCTATCTGAAAAATAACTAAAGCAAAAGGGTTAGGGATGTGACAAGTGGTAAAACACTTACCAGGTAAGTACAAGGCCTTGGGTTCAAACTCTAGTATTGGAAAACAAAACAAAACAAAAAATACAAAGAAATCACATAACTCTATGTTAAGTTTACTGTTCTAGGAAAGAACAATACACATTAAATGATCGTCACGAGCCAATTTGGTGGGTCAAAGCAATACTAAAAGTGCAGATCAAGAAAATGAAATGAAAAAAAAATTAATATATAAATCCAATTGAAATTTTTTTCTTTAGTAGCCCGAGTTAAGAATAATTAAATAAAATACAAAAGGGGAAAAAATGTTTTAAAGACCCTAGGGAAACAAGTTACAGGTGCTACTTCTATGCTCAAAATTTAGTCAGGGGTTGCCATTAAAATCTTCACAGACTGGGGAAATGGCTCTCTGTTGCAGTACTTTCTCAGGGTTTGCTCCTCAGCATCGAGAATTATTTTTTAAAATAAAGCTTTCAAAATCTTCATATAAGCCGGGCACCAGTGGCTCACACCTGTAATCCTAACTACTCAGGAGGCTGAGATTTGAGGATCCAGGTTCAAAGCCAACCCAGGTAGGAAAGTCCATGAGACTCTTATCTCCAATTAACCATCAGAAAACCAGAAATGGTGCTGTGGTTCAAGTGGTAGAGTGCTTGCCTTGAGCTGAAGAGCTCAGGGACAATACCCAGGCCCAGAGTTCAAACCCCAGGGCTGACCAAAAAAAAAAAAACAAAAAACAAAAAACAAAATCTTCATGAGAAAAATATTGTAGAAGATGTATGTGTTTTAGTCACAATTACTGGCTTTGTATGCACATGGATTATGAATTTAAAATTTAAATTGACTTCATAATTAAAGGAAGTAAACAAACCACAATTACGTCAAACTTACTAAAAGTTTTTAAAAGTACCTCATATTACAGAGAGTTTTAGATGAGTCTGGGCTATGGGGACAAGAAAACCTATCCAAAGGAGAAGTGACTGGGTGGTTTATATAAGTGCTGAGTGGAGGAGACTAGCCCATTTTAAGTTCTCACAGTAGAATGTACTGAAAGAGTTGCTAACATAGAATGATTAATTCTATTACATATTTATCTAAAAGAAAAGAATAGTTTGTGCCAAATGATTTCTTCCAGAGTTTGGAATAACTAACATTATAATAAAGTACACATTCTGAACAGTAAGACATAAAAAGAAAACAAAAATATTAATAACACGTTATAAACTGTATACATGTATTGATATGTCCTGATGTATCCTAAAATACATATTACTGTGTCAACAAAAAATTACCATATATTTTAGAAATATATTAATGAAAATTTTTTAACAGGAGTAAATAAAACAAAAATATTTAAAAAAATAACATCAACAATAAAAAACTTTGTCATAGAAGGAGCTCATTTTATTTTATTTTATTTTTTGGGTCCGGTCGTGGGGCCTGAACTCTGGGCCTGGGCGCTGTCCCTTAGCTCTTCAGCTCAAGGCTAGCGCTCTACCACTTGAGCCACAGTACCACTTCCAGCTTTTTTCTTTTTGCTTATGTGGTGCTGATTCTTTTTGCTTATGCGGTGCTGAGGAATCGAACCCAGGGCCTCATGCATGTAAGGCAAGCGCTCTACCACTGAGCCACCTTCCCAGCCCCAAGGAGCTCATTTTATTTAGCAGAGAAGCAATGGTCTTTTGAGTCCAGGGGATATATGGTTAAACATCTCAATTGAGAAGCTGAGTCATATACAATAAACTGTGTTACAGATGGTCTATCATTAACTCTGATTCAACAGAAAATGGTAAAAAAAAAAAAAAAAAACAAAACCCACACACATACAAGGGGAGGGAGGGGGGAAAGGAGGGAAACCAAAGGGGATACAATCCAAGATATTTAGATTGTCAGGCAAAACAAATACTGTACTGATTTCACCATATTTGCTAAAATTATAAATTTTCTTAAGAGATTCAAAGAAGAAAATAATATACTCTGTCAAAATAAACTGTATTTTCATTTTTCTTTAAAGCATATCAGCATCAGTACACTAGAGAAGCAGAAATCTGCCTTTTGAAAATCTAGAGTATTATTGGTATTCAGTAGGCTTGGTTTACAACAATGAATTGACAAAACCTTGACACAAAAAGTACTTATATCTGCTGTCAATCACTCACTCCTTGACATGTCAAGTGCACATTCTTTCAGGGACAACTTCAATCAACATTAGCACTCAAAATATAGTACACAATGTCACTCTTCAGAAATGAGAGGAAAAATGTGTTAGGTGCTAGGGAAAGGCAGACGGGTGTTTTTCTTTATAGGAGACCAGATTCAAATGGATAGTGAATAAAAATCAGGAGCAAGTTTAAGAGGCAGAAATAAGTTAGTGTACATGGATTTCTTCAAGGAAAAAATTTTTTTCTTGCCATACAAGAGAAAATTTGAAGCACAGCTTATAGAGGCTGAAAGGGGTCCAGCCTACAGTGAACCTTGGAAGTATGCAATTGTCTTACACACCAGGTTATTAGAGCCTGTAAAATAAAGTTAACTTGGAGAGAAGAGATAACCTAAACATGGTTCTAAAACAAATCTGAAAGTTGGGCATGGTTGGTGTATGCCTGAAGACTGTACTCATAGGCTGATGTGGACTACTTAAGCCAGGGGTTTGAGAACAGCACACAACGGTGACATAAGATCCCATCTCAAAGAAAAGACAAAAAAAAACCCATCTAATTGTTACTTCATTATTCTTGTTCATATTTCTCTTTTTTTGTTTTTAACCCAGTTCTCCCTTTTATTCCTCCCTAAATTTTTTCTCAGATTCTTAGAGTGAAAGAGTAAGGACCAGTCTTCTGTTTAAATTAGCACTGATTAAACAAGCTATTTAAACTTTTTTCTGAACTTCATTTTTGCATACTAGAATATAGTTCAATAATCCACATTTTACAGAACTGATGTGTTTGTATACAAGCATTCAATGGTGATTGACACATGACATACAACTATTTCCCACCTTCCAATTTCTATAGCTTTAGACCTGGCAAGAGCTATAGCAACATTCACTTGCTTTTTTACCTCACTGAGGAAACTCAAGAGGAAGATGGTAATGCCATTTTGGGGACACTCTGGGAGACATAACCAAGGATATTAGGGACTCCATTGAGCTTTTTGAATGTGTATTTTAGAAACCATGACCTACAACCCATCAATTCTCTAGTCCTACTATGACAGGTATAATCCTCCCAGCAACAGGCATAAGCCCTGTGCCAGGCTGTATTTGCCAGCTACAAAAAAAAATCCAAGTTTGGAGTTTGTTCAGATTATACACAATAATATGCTATGGAGGCACTGAGCAAAGTTAGGACATAGGCAGAGTTTACAAAATAGAAGAAAAGCATTCTACTTCAGCCATAAGATTCTTACTATTATCTGATAAGACAAAAGCTGGGGAAATCAGATACATTTTGGGGGAAAAAAAGAACAAAAACAATCCTTAATTTAAATTGTGTATATACTCCAATGTATATATACAAATGTAAACAATGACTTGGAATAGCACTTCTTTTTAATGCCTTTCACTGACCTAATTTTTGTCATATTTTCAATTACAGAATAGGCAAGCCCTATATTTAAAGCAGGTTGGGTTTGCCAGCTGACTCCACTCACTTCACAGTCTTCCAACTCGAATAGAATTGAAAACCCAGTGGCCTTGTCAGGATGCCCTGCGTGAGAGGGAGGCAAGATTTATGAAGTCTAGGAAGAACATGCTTCTTTATTGAAGAAGGCAGATTTCCATTTTTCTAAGTTCAATAGATAACTGAGAATAGAACTTGAACATATTTTTTTCTTTCTCAACTGTAACCCTTGCCTTTTTTCACCCTTTATATACAGGTTATTAAACTTTAGAAGCAAAACTGCCAAAAGCCACAAAGCATTCATTCCTCTGAGATCAGATGAAGAAATGAAACATTTTTATTTTCAGCTAAAATGATTTAAGTACTCAAATTTCAAACTAATCTGCCTCCACATGTAGATTAGAAGCTACTCAGCAGCAACAGCATCAGAAAAGAAAGTTCTAATCACCCTGGGCAGTTCACACTAGTAATTGGAAAGAAAAAAGGAAAGCTGTGAATTACAATGAACTAAGACTAAATAAGTGTCCATGTTGGATTAAAGAATTTGAGTTGTCAGTTTGATGTATAATGAATGTGAAAATAAGCCATTTAATTAAATGGTACATGATATAATCACTTTGTTCTGCATTAAACTACATAAGTTATCAGAGTACCTTTGGCTTAGAAATTGTTTACTATTAACCACCCAATGACTTCTCTTAGACACTAGCCCATGTTATTCCAAATTTTAAATCTGAAACTTACATAGTAATTTAGCTAATATATTTTATCTACTTATAGAAAACACAAAAAATGGGAAAATGGATTTTAGTCCCAAAAGGAGTACATTCCTATAGAGAGTTGATAAAATTTTTAAACCAAGAGCACAAAATGACAACAAAAACATTTAAAATAATCTCTTTTATAGACTGTTTTAGTCGTTTAAATTCTTAAACTATTTCTTAATCATAATGCCAATAACCACAAAGAAAAATGTTGCCAACCATTTTCTTTTTGGGGAAAGCTAGAAATCCTACTGGTCAATCTTAGCACTAAGATCCCAGTAAACTCAGGATAGTAGAATGGTAATACTAAACCTAAGGGATGTCAGGTGACTATGTTGAGAGTCAGCTTATGAAAAGAAGAAAAGAAAAAGATGAAAGCAGAAGAAAGGTAAGAAAGACATGACAGCCAGCTTGGTTTAAAGATAAACATCCTGAAGAAATAAGAATAGGGTTAAGAGCTGGGCGCAGGTGGCTCATGCCTGTAATCCTAGCTATTCAGGAGGCTGAGATCTGAGGATCGCCATTCAAAGCCAGCCCGGACAGACAAGTCCATGAGACTCGTGTCTCCAATAAATCACCAGAAAACTGTAAGTGGTGCTGTGGCTCAAGTGGTAGAGCACTAGCCTTGAGCTGAAGAGCTGAGACACAGCATCCGGGCTGAAGTCAAGCCCCATGACCGTCAAAGAAAAAAATAGGGTTAAGATTAAATTATGAAAGTTTTCTATTACCAAAGTCATATTACTTACTGCTACTGCAATTCTTCCAAGGACATGCTCTGGAATTTTTCTATATACATCCAAAGATCCCCCTATAGAGACAAAGACATGTGTTATAACAAATGAAGCTACTAGAATATTATGCTGGGCTCTTCCTCTGTGTATTCATTGTGAGAATATGATTTTCTCTTTTTATATTGTATATGTCAGGTAAAACGGTTTTAGTTTAATTTGATATTGTTCCAGATGAAGTATAACTAGATACCACATATCATTCAACTATATAGTAATATACATTAAAAAAAAACCCTCTTAGAATCATCATCTCATCAAGCAATGCTGGACAGGATATTATTGATTAGTCCAATAACTTTATTTAACAGCTAGAAGACACTGAGAAATGTGTGGTAGGCAGCCATGAATCAGCTGATAGCAGAGCTCAGAAAAGATACAAATCTTTAGCCAGGCACCAGTGGCTCATGCCTCTAATCCTAGCTACTCAGGAGGCTGAGATCTGAGGATCGCAGTTCAAAGCCAGCCCAGGCAGCAAAATCCATGAGACTCTTATCTCCAATAAACCACTCAGAAAACTGGAAGTGGTACAGTGGCTCAAGTGGTAGAGTGCTAGCCTTGAGCTGAAGAGCTGAGGGACAGCATTCAGGCCTAGAGTTCAAACCTATGAATCTTTGAACTCCCCTAAATGTAAATGTAAATACCTTTCTTTTTATAGCTTAAAAACTGAGCCTTAGCTGGATGCCAGTGGCTCACACCTGTAGTTCTAGCTATTCAGGAGACTGAGATCTGAGGATCAGTTTGAAGCCAGCCTAAGAAAGGAAAGTTCCTGAAGACTCTTATCTCCAATTAAACCAGCAAAAAGCTAGAAGTGGAGCTGTGGCTCAAGTGACTTTTAAGTTCAGGGACAGTTCACAGGTTTTCAGTTCAAGCCCCAGGACCAGCACAAAAAGAAGAAAAAAAATCAATTAAAAAAAAAAACACCTACCCCTCAAGGTGTTATCAGTGTGACACATACTGACAGAATTTATTATCAATTCAGATTTGGTCTTCAAAGCATTCAGAAACAAACTATGCTTGACAAAAAAGGTACAGTTACATATGTAAATGTAACCCCTCTGTACTTCACCTTGACAATAAAATTAAATTTAAAATTAAAAACAAAAACAAAAAAAGAAATAAATTCACCTGAGGCTCTGTTTGAATGTCTTGCTCATGATTCCAAATCACCGGTTTGTTCTCAGTGACCTGTCCGCCCTCTGCTCCCAGAGCATATACCATCCCTGACCGGTCATTTTACTGCATGCCACTGTACACCATAAGGACCATGAGGAAGACTACTAGTAGATCTGCCAAATCCCATGTTACATTATTGTAAATACTGATGTGTATTAAATGAATGAGAAACATTACTGTCATATTAGTCCCCACATTTGCCTGAAAATGACTATTATTATTCAAGTCAACAAAACTGTAATCAGGAACCATAAGAAAAAAATTTAAACCATAGCAAAAATTTTAGTTTTTAATAGTTAAAAAGGCAAAAAGTTCTTCCTTGTAATATGTTTCGTTTTTGTTTTGAGTGAGGGGGAACACCTCCTCCATAGTGGTAATCTAAATACTCGCATATACAATATTACTAAATGGATTTAGGTTTTCAGTCAGTAAGAAAGCATATCATAAAACTCTTCTACTTAAAACTTTTCAATAGTGCCTTGTGAAGGTTAAAATGTATTTGTGACTTTAAGTATCACTATCTCACAAAACTGTGAAATTTATGAAATCACTAAATCTCAATAAAAATTATTTAAAAATAAAAAAAAATCAGTGGCTTCCTAATAAATGCAGACTAAAACCCAAACTCCTTACTATGGTCTAGCCTCTTGTCCATTCTCATGTTATCTCATCATTGGCATTTTTGTTGGCTTTTGATTTTGTCAAACTTGCATATATTTTGGAACACTTATATTTGCTGGTACTTTTACCTCTCCTTCCCTATGACTTTCTCTGAGCTACTTCATGCACATTAAAGTCTTTACTATATTGCTACTTATACAAAAAGGCCATCCCTAACCACCCTATCTATTACTCGCTGTATTAGTCATCCTCTGTCCTGCTTTATCCCTGAGATTATACTGTAAATTTCTTCTGTCTTCATTTCTTGAATATAAGCTTATGGAACAAGGATCAAATCTTATTCACGCTTGTATCCCTAGTGTCTCAAAGTGCTCAGTAATAGCTAGAAAAAAAGTGAGATCAAAATAAAATAGATAATGGGAGAGAAAATTGTCCAAAAGTAGGACTTAAACAAAATGAAAGAAAAGAAATGATAGTTACAGTCTGGCAAAGTTTTCTATTTGAACATTTTTGGTATGGTGTAAGCCATATAATATTATGGCATATAATATTATGTATATTGTATTATTATATATATAGTAACTAAGGAAACCATGCATAAAGAACTAAAGTATAAAAAATATAAAAAAGAACTAAAGTGTAAGAGGCTAATGTTCCTACAAAGCTATCAATAAAAGATAAAAATCATATGTAATCAAATAGAAAAATTTTAGTTGAAAAATATAGTAACAAAAATAAAATTTCACTTCCGAGGATCACCAGCATATTGAGAAGGCAGAAAAAAGAGTAAAGGGATATGAAGATGAGCCAGTTGAAAACCTACTCTGATTTAAAAAAAAAAAAAAAGAAAACTGAATAAAAGACCTATTGGATTACTATCAAGCATGGCAATGCATACATAATGAGAAAGATCAGAGGCAAAAGACTGATATACTTGAATAGCTGAAAAAAATATTAAACAATTCTAAAGTCCAGCAAAATTGTAATGAATAAGGGAGAAATAAAAACTGAAAGAAATTTTCACTAGCTAATGTATCATAGAAGAGATATAAACTGTACTCCTTCAGTCAGAAGAAATATCAGATTAACTTATAAGACAGTAATCAAATCAATATGAAGAAACAGAATCTGAATTAGTACAGGTAACTCCATACAAATTATAAGAAAGATAAATGGGAGTTAAGATATTTTCTCCTGATTTAAAAGACAACTGCATAAATCATTAATTATATACCTATATTGTATACACCATTTACAAAAATGTAATTTATATAAGAATAAGAGCAAAAAATGAGAAGTAATAGAACAATATAAGAGCACGGTGGTTTTTTTTTATAAAGATGGTTTCTGACATAATGGTTCAATGTACATTTTTTAAATTTCATGATGGTACAAAAATGATACATATTTAGAGGATCACTCTTTAGGGGTCACACTTTGTGGCAACTACTCTGAGCCTTCATCTCTCAGACTAGAGATAGGTAGCAAGATCAGTTCTTTCTAAGCTGGGCAGCAGCTGTGAACTGCTGCTCCCAATCAGCCCCTTGATCACAAGGGCAAACAAAACAATAATCCAGAGTGTACTGTTGGCTAAGCTACCATGGTCAATAGGTTACGTTTATTAAATGTATTTTATGTTATTTTCAATTTACAATTTACAATAGGTTTACTGGGATATTGTCTTAACCTAAGTTGAGGAGCATTTTTAAAGTTGTTACTAATCTGAACTAAACTGTTAGAAATTAAAATATTGGGGGGGGGAGGCTGGGAAGGGATGTGATGGGTAAACAAAGGAGGAGGCTATAATGCTTGATAAGAAATGTACGCATTATCCTGCCCATGTAATTGTAACCCCTCTGTACAGTGTGTTCACAAAAGAAAAAGAAAAAAAGAAATTAAAATATTAACTATAATCCATAAGGTACCCACTAAAGATACAACTCAAAAAATAAATAGTAAAAGAATCAGATGGGAATTTAAATAATACTTTAGAAAATACCTATTTAATATGAAAGAAAGAGGAATATAGAAATACAGGAATATAAAGGAATATAGGAACGTAGAGGATGTAAGACCTACAGAAAAATGGCAAATATAAATCTTACTTTGCCAGTAATTACATTAAATTTAAATGGTTTGCACACTCTGATTAAATGAGAAACTGGCAAAACAGACTAAGGTTCATAGAACTAAACAGATTAGAAGTAAAAGATGTAAGGATACACTATATAGTACACACAGTGATCAACAAGGAACTGTATCAACATCAAAGCAGATCTTTAGACAAATATTGTTACTAGAGCCAAAGAAAAGCATCTCTTTTTCTTCCTTTCATTTGTGTGTGTGTGTGTGTGCGCGCGCGCGCACGCCACATGCATGCCAGTACTGGGGCTTGAACTCAGGAGCTCTTGCTTGCATTATTTTTACTCCAGGCTGGCACTACCACTTGGGCCACAGCTCCACCATGTCTTTTCCTAGTTAACTGGAATGAGTCTCACGAACTTTCCTGCATATACTGGCTTTGAACCTCAGTTCTTAGATAGCGGCCTCTTGAATAGCTAGGATTACAGACATGAGTGGTGCCTGGCTAAGAGAGACATTTTCTAAGATAAAAGAACCACTCTATCATTTAGACTTAACAATCATAGAGTTAATAAGCAAGTAACAAGAGAGCCAAATTTTGTAAAGCATAAACTGATAAAACTGAAGAGAAAACTAAAAAAATATTAGTTGAAAACTTCAATATCCCACTTTCAAAAATGAGTTAAAAAAAAAACTATACAACTGGGAATGATGGCTCATGCTTTTAATCCTAGCTATTTGGAAAGTAGAGAATGGGAAGACTGAAGTTCAAGTCTAACCTGGACAAAAGTTCATCAAACTCAACAAATAAGCTCTGCGTGGTGATACATACCTATAATCCTAGCTGTGTAAGAGACACAGATAGAAGGATAACAGCCCATGGCCAGCCCAGAAATATATGTGCTACCCTATAAGAAAAATAACCTAAAGCAAAGAGGGCTAGATTTAAGTAGTGATTTAAGTAGTAGACCAATTGCTTAACAAGTGTGCAGCCCTGAGTTCAAATCCAAGTACTACCAAAACAAAAATAAAACCATCTACGTAGTAGATTAAAAAATAAATAAAATACTTGAAAAACACTATGAACCAATCAAGTCCAACAGATATGTATAGAGTACCACAGAGTCCGAGATAAAACTGC